GTCTTCTGTCCACTTGCTGGCACACACACCCTCGCCCCCAGGATCAGTCTACCCCAACTTGCCTTTCTTCTGACTCTAGCCACACTGAGTTGGTGCCCGCCTGAACCGCCTCTTGCTCTCTATCTCACACACGTGGACCCTGTTTCCAGAGACGATTACTTTGCAGTACAAAAAGTTGAGGTTTCTTTGCGTGATTTAAAGTGAGGGAAAACACAGCTGTGCCACCAGCAAGACGCTGTGGAGTAACTCAGAATCCAGGAAGTAGAGAGGTTCCCATCCCCCTCCCCCCACCAGCCCAGCTTCAGGCGACACAGCATAACAGGGCCCCCTACTGCTTGCTGTTCTGACTGTGGTCAGCTGCATCACCCAACATCCCTTTAAGAAGGCAATTTTTTTGAAGAGGCTTTCGTCCACCTATTTTCCTGACCTGGACCAGGCTTTCTCTAATGTGAGGGCCTTCCGGGAGAATTGGAAAAACTGACAGGGTTAATATGGGTCTCTTGTCATGCTGCCAGATACATAGTTTAACCAGCAGGCTGGTGACTCAAAACACCTTCAATGGGATTAAAAGCCTTCAAGTATTTCAAACAACAGCTACCTGCTGTGACAGCCAGGAGGGACTGGCTCTCAGAAAAACCTTCTTGCTGACAAGAGAGTGACTGGCCTTGTCCAACACCCAATTAAAAGAGGCTAAACTTCTAAAAAGGAAAGGTGTACGGAGACTGCGAATCTATTCAGTAGAACCTGCTAGATGTAAGTGGTAGTGGCAGAATGAATCGTGTTCACCAGACGCAGGGCGGCTGTGGCTTACCAGGTCCTATTCTAGATGCATACTATGGAGAAGTACGTGTGTGTGCATGTACGTGCGAACATGCACACAAATCCATGTCTTCTTGAAGTTCACGGTCTACCCTCAGGTCTTGATTTTCTGGAAGGTAAGCATGTGTATCATTTAAATAATATTTAACTCCATCAAGGCCAGCAGTTCAGAAGAGAGTGAGACTATGATCCATGAAATGTATTTCAAGGACAATTGAAATATATTATCATGGTTCTATTTCAGTGGTAGACATATGAATCACATGTGTGATTCCTACTCTCCTGTGTCTTTTTATATGTTCTTTAGTAGGCACATACTACTATTTTCCTGGAAATTTTATGAGTAAAGGTAAACCCAAGATGTCCAGGTGACTCTTAACTGTAAGAACTAAGAGACCTCAGCTTTAGAACAGAATTCTCGTGGGTTCCAGCCCCCTCACTGCCCTCTACCAAGCGTGTGACTTTGGACAGATGACATAGCTTCTTAATTACATAAGAATTCTATTACTACGTCACGATTTATTATAAATGGAGGTATTATGCCTAACCTGACCTCTCAGAGCTGTTACCAGGTAAAATTCCACATCCCTGAGGAAAGCAGAAGTAGTTTTCTGCTCATAGAAGATACTTGACTTTTCCTGGGAAAGCTGGGCAAAGACCAGACTCTCTAACTGTGCTTGGAAGAGTGGGAAGATGCTCTTTTGCTTCGGATAGGCTTGTTTGTGGTGGTTTCCTAAATAAGTGTATTCTAGAATGTTCCGTTACTAGAGATTTATTCAAGCAGAATGAAAACTGGTGTCCATACACAATCAAGAACACAAATATTCACAGTAGACTTATTTGTAATAGCTCCAAGCTAGAAGTAAACCAAACACCCATCAATAAGTGCATACATAATCAAATTCATTTGGTGGAATAAGAAGAATGACTGTTTTGAGGAAGTAGCATTGGTACATGTTTGTGTGGGTATGGGCATATGTGAGCAGAGGCTAGAAGTTGGCACCAGCATCTTCCTCAATCACTTGCCACCTTATTTTTGAGATAAGGACTCTTATTAAACCGAAGTTCCTGAGTTCAGCTAGATTGGCTGGCCATTGGGTTTCAGGACTCTACCTGTCTTCAATCCCCAGCTCTTCAACTCTGGGCTTCTTGATGTGTGTCACTATACCCGGTTTTTACATCCTAAAGAGACAGACTTAGTTCCTCATGCTTGTACAACAGGAATTTTACCACCTATGCCATGTTCACAGACAAGAACTAAACTATCAATGCACAGTAAACTTCAAAATAACTAGGCTAAATGAAAGAAGCCAGGTACAAAAGGTTACATGCCATGTTTATAAAAGGAGAGACCACCAGCCAATGTGGAGTAGCAGGAACCGGTCATGGTTTCTTTGAGATGAGGATGGAGTAGAGATGGAAGCATGGGAGGATTATGGGATGTCAGTGTGAATCCTTTTGGAGTGATGGATGTGTTCACGACTTTGACTGAGGTAGTCCCACTGGAAGCTTACATGCAATTCATTGTGTGCCAGTTCTAACAATAAGATGTTAAAACTACTCATAGGTTAACTCAATAAAACTGTTTCAAAAGAAACAAGAAAAGGTTCAATCCCAAAGCACACAGCCTAAGTCCCAAGAAGAATTAGCTATAATCTTAATCAACCATTGTCAGGCTGTGGTTCGTAAAGGGATCAGGCAGTTGGGTAGCTAGCCTGAGAGTCTAAATGTTTATTTTCCCGTGGACTGTGAAAATAGATCCACAACAGAGAGAAGAGACTTGAATTCCTCAGCATAGTCCATCTGTAGTTTGAAAATCGTGTCTGTGTTTATGCCTGTGGGGTATGTACACTTGCTCCTGTGTGTGCACATGTATGCAGGTGCTCTTTCTTGCACGTGTGTGTTGATTGCGTTGGGTGGGTTACTAGTCTAGAGGTTTGTAACTCACCCTGCAATCAGTTGTTCCAGGGTCTCGGAGGGGCGCTACCTGGAAGGGAATGAGCTAGGACAGAAGAAGGAGGCCAAGCAGATTTGTCAAAGCCTCCGTTATTAGGATCATGGTTGCTGCTTATATAGCCCCTGAAAGGTAGGGAAACTGGACTCTTGCCGCGTGTTCCAGGTCATGTAGGCCAGGTTACATTCGGACAGGTAGGCCAGGAAGTCACAAGTTGCCACACCTGGTTCCCTGGATAGCTGGAGTGTGAGGCGTGTTCTGCTAACAGATAAGTTAATTGGATGTGGGGCAGGTTCTCTCAATAGAACATAATTATGGGTGTGAGGTTCTCTGCAGACTCCCCAGGGTGATGGTTCCTGTAATGATTTTTAGGGGGAAATGGCTTGTGACACGTGTGTGCAACGGTAGAGCTCAAGTCTCTTCCTTGATCACTCTCCACCTTATTTTTGAGGCAGGGTCTCTCACTGAACCTTGAGCTCACGAATTCAGCTAGGTTAGCTGATCAGTGAGCGTCAGCGCTCCACCTGTCTCCACGACTCTCTACTCCAGGTGTAGACTTGTGCTACCACGCCAGTCTCAGACACGAGTGATGGGCATCCAAACTCAGGTCCTCATACTTGTACAGCCAGTGTGCCGAGCTGCTGAGCCATCTCTCCGATGCCTGAAGTTATTAAATTAGTAAAGAATGGCATGGGTTTCTGTCCAGCCGTAAGACAAAGCTGCAAAACCGGAGCTGCATTTTTTTCCCTGTCAAGAACTGATGTGGCAAGTGCAGGAAAATCAAATGCCTCATCAGAAAATGAATGCCCCAGTCGCCAGAAGGCCCTTGCATCTGGGTGATGAATTTCAGAAGATAGAGACACAAGGGGAAGCCCTGTGGGTTGATTTCTTAAAGACAAACCTGGGGTACTGACATCACACTTCAATAGATAGCAGTCAAAGCAGATTCTATTGTAAAATAAAGCTGGTTTTACCAGGATTAAGAGTGAAAGATAATAGTTCCTAGGAAGTGGCAAAGGGATGTCAAGGCCAGAATAGCAGACTAAATTAACTAGATCAGAAAGGCAGGACTTTATCACCGTCTCTTGTGTCAGCTTTCCTATGGTGCAGGGGCTCAAACATAGGGCCTTATGCATGCTAGGTTAGTACTCAACCAACTGAGCTACACACCCACCTTCAGTTCAACATTTTGTTTTATTTCCTCTTGTATGCATGGCTGGTGTGTATTCTAGAATGTTCTACTGATAGAGACTTATCCAAGCAGAATGAAAACTCATATCTGTATATAGTCAAGAACACAGATATTCACAGTAGTTTTATTTGTAATAGCCCCAAACTGGCTGGCCTGAAACTTACTCCTTTGCTAAGGATGACCTTGAACTCCTGATCTTCCAGTTACCTCCCAAGGTCTATTTCAGCCTGGTATTGTTTAGTCGTGATTGATGCTTGACTATAAATCCCTGTAGGTCTAAGATACAAACAAGGATTTTTGACTGTTTTTGCTGAAATTTGGGGGATTTAAAAACAGAGCTAATCTATGTTTGAAGAATAACATCACTTTAAATTGCTTAAATTTTGAAATGATGATTTCTTTTTCTATGTCACATTATTAAAGACCACAGTTTTCTAGGTCATGTTCAGTTGACACAGGATGGTTGTTCAAACCCCAAAGTTCGGCAGTAAATGTCATTACTACCTGCCTGCCTAAAATAGCATGAGATGCTAGGCTCACATACATGAAGTTTAAAGGGACCTTGAAAGATACTGGGACGGTTCACCAGTCCCACAGACAGACTGTGTGTAGCTGAACCTCCTAACTGCAGTGGTCAAAGGTAACTCATCACACACGGTCAAGAGTTAGGCCAGAGTTTCAGAAAGGGTTGTGAAGTGATAGGGGAATGTAAAACTTAAGAGAATAGAGTTGGGACAGCAATGACTCCAAAGCCTTTCAGAGATTTTAGCTGCATCCAAGAAAGGAAAGGAGCATTTATCGAGCACCTCCCGTTGCCATGGCAAACAAAAGCCTGGATAATCAAGTTAGCATATACTGCCAAAGAACATACGTTGTTATAGAAAAATAGTCTATGAACTACACAAGGTATTCAAGGACAGGGCATGAACGCTGTGTGTAAAATACATGTGATTCTGCGGGAGAGTCTGGCATCTCCCTGCCTGGAGGGATGGCTCATGTCTTGATACTCCTTTTTCTCTCTTCTCCTCTCCTTAGGCATCCAGATTAGTTCCTTTACTCAAGCAGACCTGACTTCAGGAAGTGTTCAGTATGTCCATTCCGGTGAGCCCGGGAAGCACTCGGACGTCTTCAGCTTTGTGCTGTCTGACGGCGTGCATGAGGTAAGAGGTCCTGCCATCCATCCTCGAGTGGGTTTTGATCCCTGGTTTTCTTCATTGAGAGTAGTGGGCAGACAAACTGGAGATATGAAATCATTGTGTTCCTCTATTCTTAGCCACAGAACAGAAGCAGCCCCCGACAGCCATGGGCTTGAGCCCCGGAGGGTTCATGTCAGGTTTCTTCTGGAGTCAGCCAGGCCAAGGGTTGAGGAGAGGGTGGTACTGGGGACGGGCACCTCACCCACCTGTTACTGTTTTAGGTGATGCAGACCTTCCACATCACTATCCACCCTGTGGATGAATCACTGCCCCTTGTGCAGAACCGGGGCATGCGTGTGCAGGAGGGCGTGAGGAAGACCATCACAGAGTTTGAGCTGAAGGCAGTGGATGCGGACACAGAGGTCAGTGGCTTTCCTGTCCTCCCGGGCTGAGCAGAAGTAGGGTTGAGGGCAGGTGCTGCTTTGAGGAGCATCCTAAGAGTTCTGCTCAGTGGTGAGGGGAGTGCGAGCCCTTCCCCCCCCCCAAGCAGAAGTAAAAGCAGAAGACACTGACTTTCTGTGAAAAATCAAATTTGAGATCAAGTTCCTTTTCAATTCAATTCATTCTCACCTCAGCTTGCACATAACCACCCTCTACATGCTGACTTTATTATGTTTCCTAGAGAATAAAGGGGTGACACTTTACCCAAAACATGTTGTATTGTCTTTCAGTGGATGGGCACTTTGTGCCCTCTGTACCTCTCTTCTATTTTACCTCTTGCCCCCAGACTATTTTTCATGGTTACTTGTTATCATAATTTGAGCAAACTCCAAGAAGAGACTTTGTCCAGAAAAAAAAGTATGGCATATTGGGAGGGGGCAGCTCTCCTTTCAAGATGTTGCCCGGGTCGAGCATTTAGCATGTAGACTTGATTAGACTGACATGAAGCTCACCACTGACTTATAGGTCCATGTGCCCCCTTCTCTCTGCCTGGGCTTCACTGCACAGCTGTGCCTTCATCGAATGTGCATTGCCTACTGGGCTGTAGACTCCGCTCTATGTGCTAAGAGCATAGCTGTGGAGAAAACAGAAAATAGTCCACAAATTTACAACCTTTCTGATTGAGGGAGAGAGGGAGGGAGGAAGGAAGGGGGGGGGGGGGGGGGGAGGGAGGGAGGGAGGGAGGGAGGGAGGGAGGGAAGGAAGGAAGGAAGGAAGGAAGGAAGGAAGGAAGGAAGGAAAGAAAGGGTGTAGAAAGAAAGGGATGGAGGGAGGAAGACAGGGACCAATCAGACATGGTCAGCATTAAGTGAGATCATGATTGGTGGACGCGCTATTTTAGGCAGAGTAATCAAGGAACGTCTTTAAGGAGATGCTCTCTGAACAGAGACATCAGTGGAAGAGCAAACAGTGCAGTTACCAGGGAGAATTCACAGGCAGAGGACACAGTGCAGAAGCCTCAGGTTCCAGTGCTTTCTTTCGATCCTGAAGCCAGGAGGCTGGAATCTAGTGACCAAGGGGCAAAGAGAATAGGCAGCCCAAGCCTTCCCTCTAGTCCAGCCTGCGCCGTGAGGCCTGAGGACAGCAAATGTACACGCTCCACACTCTGACGAAGGCTCTAAGATGGAAGCCCAGTTGAAGGAGAGAAGATGGTATCTCTCACTACCTTCTTTGTATCTATAAAGAAAATACAGGCTGTATTTGATGGCTTTAGTCTGCTTCCTTTACCAGCTTCTGCCGCCACTCACTCCAAACTTGCCTCTCGCTTTTCTCCTTTTGGCAGGCTGAGTCTATCACCTTCAACATCATGCAGCCCCCACGCCATGGCACCATCGAGAGAGTTGCCAGGGGGCAACGTTTCCTCCTCACCTCCTCCTTCACTATGGAAGACATCTACCAGAACCGTGTCAGCTACAGCCATGATGGCAGCAACTCCCTCACAGACAGGTTTACCTTCACTGTGTCTGATGGGACCAACCCCTTCTTTATCATTGAGGAAGGAGGGAAAGAGGTGAGGGTCAGTGGTGGAGGGAGAGGCCCAGCAGAGCCTGTCAGAGGCCTTGTGGGAATTGTTCCATGTAGCGCGACACTTAGTTCTTACTCTATTAATGTTAAGTATGTTGATTCCGGACAGGTGCTTTTCCTTAAATCTTCATTTTTCATCTGTAAAATGGATAAAATAATGATTGTTAGCCTTGAATGCTTTATCTAAACACCAAAAGAGACAGTCCTGGTTGAGTGTTTGACACTGTGGGCAACTAGTAAGCCCCCAGCATGACATGGTAACTATTAATATTACTCTTTATTTTTTATTCTTTTCTTCCATCTGGTATTTCTGTAACATTGCATAGCTCTATATTCTCTTTCTGTTTTTTGAATAAGATTCCTCATTCCAACCAGAGTCACTCAGTCTTGGGGATTTAGAGTGGTTTTGTGTACAGGAGACACACAAATTTTGAATCCTGGCTCTGCCACTTATTAGCCGAGTGAGTGTCTTTGTAAGTCATGTTCCTTTTGAAAACCTCGGTTTCCCAGTCTGTAAAATGGAGGAGGTACCTCTCCTCTTTGTGTACATTGGGGCCTCTGCCCCGAGGCAGGCCCAGAGAAACATCAGAGAATCTGTAGGCACCAGCTTCTATATTCTATACTAAGGGTCCTGGCTGCTTATGTCAAGCAACTTCCACGCTTTAGTTCCTTCAAGATTGAGGGGGAGGGAGCTGGGGAGATGGCTCAGATTGAATGTGTTCTCTACGTGGTTGTAAGAATCTGCATTTAATCTCCAGAACCCTTGTAAAGAGATGGGTATGGTGGTGTGTGCCTATAATCCCAGCACTAGGGAGGTTGACAAAGACAGACTCATCCTTGGAGCCAATTTAATTAGCAAACCCCAGGTTCCAGGGAGAAACCCTGCCTTAAAACCACAAGGTGTTTAGCTACAGAAAAGCAACACTTGAGGTTGATTCTTGGGTTCTACATGTGTGTGCTTGCACACACACACACACACACACACACGCACACACGTGCACATGTATACACACATACACACAAATGACCTGTGTTCAGACTCCTTATCTACTGCCTTCTGCAGAGCTCCACTATTTCATAAACTCTCCCTGTAATAACTGCATCTCTGGTAGAAGGTGGGCCAAGGACACCCCAACCCCCTACACAGCTGTGTCTGGCTCCACAGAAGCAGTGTTGGTGAGCAGTGTGCCCACAATCTGTTGTACCCCCAGGACAGCAAGAATCTCAGTCCTGGCGAGTTTCTGTCCTACACTATTGGTGGATAATTATATTCCTGGAAGGGAGAGCTTCTTCCTGTGTCCTTTAGAGACACGGAAGGTCATCCTCTGCAGGTCACTGCATTCGTAGGTGACTCTTGGGATTCCTCTGCCTTGTCTACATCTGTCCTGTCTGTTCCATGGCAGGCTATCACTTTGTCCTTTCTCCTGCTGTAGCTGCTGCTCCTGGTTAGCTTGACTTTCAAAGGAGAAAAATAAATCAAGACATATCAGCAATGGCTACCCTCTTAAACACCTAAGTGTCAGAGCAAGCCTTCGTGGGACCACGTCATCCTAAAAAATTGAAATTGTATAAATTGTAGATTGAGAAGCTAGCATCTCACTGCCCTGCATTGCAACTGGTACCCACTCAGGGCCCGTGAGTGTGGGATAGGACTATAGCATGTGTACCTGTCTGTAGATAGGGCTCTCTCTGTGGGTGGAATTACAATGTGAATCCCCTTTCACCATTTGTTCCCATAAAAGCTTTTATTCTTAATTTCTTCTGCCTCTTACCCACAGAGGGAGCACTGTCCTTAAAACAACCCAGAACAAAACAGAGAAAGAAAAGGAAAAGACAAGCTCTCTGGGCTTAGAAGCTTCCCTCCCTCTCTGAGCTGATCCCACCTGGAGGCTTCAGCATCAACATTTTAATGATGCTGTTTCCAGACTCTCAAGAAAACTTTAATGCAAGAAATTGAGAGAAAAAGTATCTGTGAATTGTTTCATCTTAGGAAATGTTTTTTCTTTCTTTTTTAAATTATTTTTTAAGTTAGGGTACAAAGTAATGAGTCTCTACAGAATTTTCATATGTCTATGTCATTCTGCTTTGTTCTGGTTTATACACCCCACTGTCCTGCCCAGCTTCCCTTCTTGGTGGTCCCCTTCTTCTTCCCCCAAAGATCCACCTTTTGCGTTCGTGTGTGTGACTTATATTCCATTATCCCCTTTTGTTCCCCACTCCCTTTAGAGCTGCTCCTCTCATGGTCCCCTTTCTACGCCATTTGTACACAGTAAAATAAAGAACCTGACATCAGAGAAAGCATGCAATATTTATCATTTATTCCAAATCTAGCATCATGACATCCCCTGAAGAAGACATAAGCGGACCCAACCACCACGGCACACACTTTTAGCCCTAGCTAATCGGGAGCTTGAGGCAGGAGGATTTCTTGAGCTCAGAAGTTCAAGCCCAGACTAAGCAATGCTGGATAACCCCATATTAACACACACATGCACATGTGAAAACCAACTTCTACAGCATTGACACCCTTGAGGTTAAGCAGAGACATCGTTGCTTTTCGTTTCTGGGTCCATGCTGGACTCCCCTTGTCAATCGTCACTCTCTCTGTGGCCTCATGTCAGTTGTGATAAGAGGTGGAAGCTAGCTTTCCAGCCTGCACTTCGTCTCTGACACGTGCAGGGATCCCAGCGGCTTAGAGACAGGGTCTGGGAAACTCCAGTGTTGGTAATGAGTGTTTTTCTGGCTTCCCCTACAGATTATGACTGCAGCACCTCAGCAGTTCCACGTGGACATCCTCCCAGTGGACGATGGCACCCCTAGAATTGTCGCCAACCTGGGTCTGCAGTGGCTGGAGTATATGGATGGCAAGGTAAGTCCTTCAGTGTCCTCGCTAGGATGGAGCTACCCATCGCTGAGTGTCTGCTGTTGAATACACCAGATTTCACCAAAGTCCGGGGTGAGGAACTTTATTTTAAACAAAAGACAAAAATTGAGTATGTTATTTCCACTTCTAGTCTGTTGGCAGGAAATTGGTCAGATGAGCACAGGTGTTTCACGGGAGGCTGGGAAATCGTGTCTCGAGCTGGGCGGGCGGGCTCTCAGCTAAAACTATTAACTTCTAAGAGGGGAGAATGGACTCTAAGGAACATTAAATGCTTGCCCTAGATAGAAAGGAGCAGATATCTTTGTCAGCAATTGTCCTCAGAGGAGTCCTCCTTCGGAGACCTCCATCTCCCGGTTCCCAGCAGGCCATCTGGAAGTGCAACTCAGCACTAACCCAGCATCAGCACCCGCACAAGCGCATCTCTTCCCCTTTCAGAGCTTTGATTAGTGATGTTCATCTTTGCCATGTCTTTTTCATCCTCATGGACTGAGGGTAGGGTGTGAGGGTGCTTAGCTATCGAACTGTTGGGTTTCTTAAAAATGAATACAGTAGGGTTGAATAAATGGCTCTGTCATTAAAGAGCATGAAGATGTAAGTTCAGATCCCCCAGCTCCCATGTGAAAAACCGGGCAAAATGGTGCATGTGTATAACCTCAGTGTCAGAGGCACAGAGACAAGCGGATATTTGGAGCTCAATGAAAAGCCATCCTAATCTAACTGGTCCAGGTTCAGGAAGAGACTGTTCCACAAACCAAGGTGGAGAACAATAAAGGAAGACACCTCACATGGATCTCTGGCCTCCACATGTATATATGTATGCACGTGCATACGCGAGTATGCATGCACATACACACACACACGCATCAGTGTAAATTCTTCTTACACACTGACTTTTTCTCAATATTCAACTAGAGTGATTGTTTTCTTGGGTAGACTTGGGTCTACTTCCCATACCTCCGCTATTCCGATAGCAGTTATTAACATTTCCAGTGGCCAGGTATAGTAGCACATTGCTGTAATCTGAGCGCTTGGGAGGCCGATCTAGAAGGATTCCAGGATTCTAGTTAGAGGACAGTCTACAGTCCATAACGAGACCCTGTGTGACTAAATAGATGTATAGTGAAGTCACCAAAGACTTCTAGTTTTTGAAATCCAAAAGTTAATGCCCTGCCCTTTTCTGTTTAAGCCCACATACATAGAGTATTGCTCACTGCTCTCTTTCCATGGTCTTCGGATCTTGCCCTGTGTTGACTGGGTAAATGGGTAAAGAAATTAAGCTTAGCTGGTATATTTGAGCAGTATCAGGGGACAGTATATTTATCCTAATCAACCTCAGGATTTTCAGCGATTCTCCTAAGGTATAAGGCTTAGCCATTATATCATTCCTCCCAGGTTCCAATCCTCTTTCAAAGCCAAACTGAAATCCCCTGCTTATTTCCACAAGACTCTTGCCCCATTGACCCCGCTCAGGAGCCTTTCTTTGTGAAATCTTCCAGAGCAGAGGCTGGCATAGTTTCCATCCTAACAGTTTTCTGTGCAGCAAATGCGCTCAGTAAATCACTGTGCAGCCGAATTAAATCTGAGTCAAAGGGTCTTGCTCCAGCTTAATTCCCACCTCAGGAATTAAATTTAATGGGTTTCTATTCCAGGCAACCAACCTGATCACCAAGAAGGAACTGCTGACCATGGACCCGGATACAGAGGACTCGCAGCTTGTCTATGAGATCACCATGGGCCCAATGCATGGCTACGTGGAGAACAAGCTGCAGCCAGGCCAAGCTGCAGCCACCTTCACCCAGGGTGGGTTCTTAGGAGCCCAGAGAGGGTCCATGCTCAAATGCAGCTCCCACGGTCACTTCCAGCTACTTTTGCAAATGGACCATCTAGTATCTAACCACCCCCTTGCACATTTTGCTCTTCCCGGGTTTCTTCCTGTCGCTCTGAACCAGAGAGCTTCCTCTCCACCATGTCCCCCGCCCTCAGGGTTCTAGGTGTTCTGGAAATGACACGTGGGACCGCTCGGTTTCCTTATAAGACAAACAACAAACGGGCTGCCAGCCCGAAAGATTTGTGATCTAAGAAGTTTATTGTTTTATTCCCTAAGGCCGATGGCATTTACTTTTAAACATCTTCAGCCAAGAAGTTAAAGTCTGCTTTATAAGTGTATAAGTTACTCGACAGAAATAGTTACCTTTTGGAATAACATAAAGCAGGTCGTTCTGTAGTTCTGTTTAGCTCGTCACTGCTCCTCTTGGGGGACGGCTGTGACTAGACACTCACATGGGTGACGCTGTCCTTTAAGGTCCGTGCTCTGTGTTCCCTTCCCAGCCCGTCCTCAGTCATGCAGAGCTGTCTTGTGTGTGAGGTGCTGCTGTCAGCCAGGCTTTGCCTGTCAGCACACACCTTCCTGCACAGAGGATGGGGTCAAGGCTTGTCTCTGTCAGCTTTCAGATTTGCCCTTCAACACCCCGCAGACACTCTCTCGGGTGCTTTCTGTCCAGACCCCAAGATTCTCCTTTTCTATGAGCATAAAGGGGCTCTCTGTAAGATAGATATTTGGACATGAAACTGTAAGACTTTGCTTTAAAACTAGGACAAATCTTTTGTTTTTAAGACTACTATACTTTTTAGAGTTTTGACAATCAGTCCCTCTAGCCCGTTAGAAGACCAGACTAGACTCGATATGTTGGCCAGGGACCTATGAGCGTGTCTTTACACTTCCACATTATCTCACCGTGGATTCTGGGACTCTTTTTTTTCTCACAGAGGATGTGAACTTGGGGGTGATTCGTTATGTGTTGCATGAGGAGAAAATCCAGAAAGTCATGGATAGTTTTCAGTTTCTGGTGAAAGACAGTAAACCCAATGTGGTCAGTGACAATATCTTCCATATCCAGTGGTCTGTCATCAGCTTCAAATATACCAGGTACAGTCTTTGTTGTGTACTGTGTAGTGAGAAATAAATCAAGCGAGTAGAAGAAATTAGGATGAAATACTATAGAAGGCAGGTCCATTATTTTTGATGGTGGTGGCGGTGGCGGTGGCAGCGGTGGCGGCAATGGTGGTAGTGGTGTTGGTAGATGGTGGTTGTGAAGCTAGTAATAACAGTCATTAAAATAATTGCTTGAAATCTTTATTGGATGATATAATGTGCATACCAGGTACAATGCTATGTTCTCAACATAATTCATCCTATTCTCTTGCAACGTGCAAGTCTGAGATTCACAGTAACAAAGCAGTAGAGGCAGGAGAAGGCTAAATTCCTTAGCAGTGTAGCTCATGAGCAGTAAGATAAGATCTTAAACCCAGTAATCTTTTAAAAAAGTAATTCATTTATTTTTATTTTATGAGCATTGATTGGTTTTTGCCTGCATGTGTGTCTGTGTGAGAGTGTCAGATCCCTTGGAACTGGAGTTCTGGAGTTAGACAGTTGTAAGGTGCCATGTGGGTGCTGGGAATTGAACCCAGGTCCTTTAAAACAGCAGCCAGTGTTTTAACCACGGAGCCATCTCTCCAATCCTAAGCCCAGTAATCTTCACCATCCTCTTTCAATGCTTCTTTTGAACTCTTTTGTTTTTATCTTCAAGTTATAGAAGGTAATCCAATAGAATTTGTAGGAAAAACAGAAAATAAACCTTCAGGTCGTGTTTTTCCAAGGTTTCTCTGAACTTCATAGAACTGTCCATCACATATGTAGATTGAGATGCTTGCCTCATCCAGTTATAGAGGAAATCCAGGAGCCGTCATTTGATGGGCAGACATAGGGCTGCTTTTCTCCATTAATCTAGGGGTCTTATTCTAGAGAAAACAATTTTTAACTAGCGTTTCAGAGAGCACTATTCTAAGATATTAATTTCTTGATAGGTAGGACAACTAAACTTGCTTCCAGGAGGCTGAGACATACCTTCCCCGCTCTTGGACATACTCAGAATAATTAGAATCAATTGTAAAATATGTCATATTTTGAGATTTGCCTTTAATTACCTCTTGATTGTTTCACCTCTAAAATTAAACAAGTTGAGTAAACAATATCTTCTTTGGTTAGCAATCCTCCAATTCTAGTGGACTGAGCTGCCCAGGGAACTGACAGTGTGGGCCCCTCTCTCAAAGGCATTTTGCCTAAAACATCCAATGAGACACACACACACAGGCTGAATGGCTGTCTTCATTGGTGAAATTCGAAGCCTAGTTCACTGCTGTTCTCCTCTGGCTTTTCCAAACCTACTCATTATGAATTAAGATCTTGAGAACTAGCTCTTAACACATCCAGTACAAATCCCCGTGTTAGGCTGAGACCCCTCCCCGCCCAGGCTGGCACATCATAAAACTCTGTCTAGAAATCTTTGTACTCTGAGCTCCAGCTCAGCCACCACCCCAGCTCAGTTGCAGGCATCCTTCAGATCCGGCTCAGTGGGCCCCTACTGAAGCTGTCCCTAACAACTGTCCACACAGCTTCATCTCTGGCCTTTTCTGATTACTCTGCCCACTTGGGAAAGGTTCTTTGTCCCCTCCTCAGGCTCTGAGTTCTGAAGTTTGTAGCTCCTGTTACAATGTTCTGGGTGACTCTAGTCTCCTCCACAGTGAGTAGGTGGCATTCTTTAACCCCAGTATCCTTGTTCATAGGGGCTGTGACTGTCCCTGGTAAACATCTTCTATTAATTTATGTAAATTTTGAAAGCACTAAACTGCCTGTCCTTAGAAATGCTTGAGTCCTGGGACCAAATATCACAGTGAGTGGTCTCTTTATAGCCCCAAGACAGATTTCTGGAGCGTGACTTTTATGTGTCCCTAGCTATAATGTCAGTGAGAAGGCCGGATCTGTCAGTGTCACGGTGCAGAGGACTGGAAACCTGAACCAGTATGCCATTGTCCTGTGTCGCACCGAACAAGGCACAGCCAGCTCCAGCTCCAGGGTCAGCTCTCATCCCGGACAGCAGGATTACATGGAGTATGCTGGTCAGGTAGGTGTGGAGAGGACCACTCGTTCCTCGGCATAGTTGCAGGTTACGGTGGTGCCCTCAGCTTCTTACCCACCTCCCTTCCCGCCCACATCCTCCTCAAGAAATTCCCTCATACACCCTTCCCATAGAACTTTGTTCTTCAGTCTGCCTGCTCGCCCCTGAACTATCTGCCAGGGCTTACATCGTCATCTGGCTTCTAGGTGCTTACGTTTTACCTCACGGCAGGACTTCATCAAGGTATTACGTCCCCGCTCAGTTCTTGGTGCTGTCCCTTCTCTTCCTGAAAGTATGGGAAGAGTCATAAGCAAACCACTTAGCGAGTTCTGAGGATAGAGTAGATGAGAGGGGGAGCTTCAAATAGTAAAATTGATGGGATTGAGCGGTGGACTGCCGAGAGGGTCAGAGGGCAGCATGGGTGATGCTTCCCTGGCTATGAGAGGATGGTCAGGAAGAGCAAGTTTGACAATATTCCATGCTGGGATTTTTGTTTTAGGCACAATGAGTATCAGTTGTCTTGAGCTGGGGCTACAGAAAATTCCCAAGTCAGTCATCTCTTTTCCCTTGAGGGTGGTGGTGAGAAAGGGAGATGAGGACTGAGGAGGTTGGGTAGGGGTAGAAGTCTATGGTGAGTGCACACTTAGTGCACAGCACGAATGAGGGCCGGGTGGAGAGTGAGCTCCTTCATGGGTATTTATTCCGTGTTTTCCAAGTCAACGTGATGTTGACCCGTGATATTAGGAGTTAAATCTCTGTAAAGCAAAGTGGACTATGTCCTTTCTCGATGTTCAGGCATCGGCTAGACTAAGAGAAAGCCTTTATGGTAATGAGGACGTAGGAAAGACCAGAGAGGGTAAGGAGTCTTCAGCAAAGGGATGTCACATTTTTCAAGAAAAGACAAAGGTCTTGAGTGTGTTCCAGATCTTAAACAGAAATCTAATAGTGTTTTGTTTTCTTGAGGGCATTTTGAACCACAGATGAGCAAGAACTCAGTTTAATCAGTTGGTTAGGTATGCACTAATGATTTTGATGGATTTAAATTGGATATTCTTCAGATTTGGGTGCCCTTAGAGACTACTGACTAATTCTTACACTGCTTCTTATTTTAACTGCCTCAGTTTACACAAACAACTATATTCTGTTTAAAGGGTTTATCCTTGTTTTATTTATTTTCTCTGTTTTGTTTCTCTTCTACTCCCTTCTCTTTTTCATTCATTCATGCATTCTTTTTTTTTCAGACAAGGGTATAATGTTACATTTACAGCTATATGTACACAATATAAGTTCTTTGTGTTGTACTTGCTAAATTCACTCACAGGCCTAGCCCATTTTAGGGCAAAAGATTAGCCTGCTGTGTTAAGTGACATTTTAGGGACTCAAACTCAATGATTCAGTGCAACAAGAGTCTCTTGTTAATTTTTAATTATATGAATAATATAATCAAGGCAATGGTGATATATTTGTGTAATGCTTTAAAATATCTTAACACTTTTGTCATATAGTTTTCTTTAGTCTTCATAATAATAGCGTAGAAGAAATATCATTATAAACTAAGTACCTGATGTTCATAAACTGACATAATTTTACCTCCGGGGGGAGGGCAATCAGCACCTGAAACTCAACCGTCTTTACTCTGAAAGTGGAGCTCTTTCTGCTTCAGCTTGGCCCAACTAGAAAGAGCACTGAGCAGCCAAATGATAATTGTTAATAAAAAGAACACAAATAGCTGTCACCCATTTCTCTAGTCACCTGTGGTAAGACAGCTCTTGCCCTCCATGTTCTTCTACAGTAAACTAGCCCCAGTTGTGTGAGAAGAACAGGAGAGGTGGTGACTAACTAATATGGGAAGAACAGGGATGTGGCAGTTGGATGCTCTTTTCTCGCAATCCCCCCCCCCCCCGAGGAACTGAACCAGGGAAGGCACGATTAACCTCCTTTTGTTTCCTTGTGGCAGGTGCAGTTCGATGAGCGAGAGGACACAAAGTCCTGCACCATCGTCATCAATGATGATGACGTGTTTGAGAATTTTGAGAGTTTCACTGTGGAGCTCAGCATGCCAGCCTATGCCCTGCTGGGCAAGTTCACCCAGGCGAAGGTCATTATCAATGACACGGAGGATGAGCCCACCCTAGAGTTTGATAAGAAGACCTACCGGGTCAACGAGAGCGCTGGGTTTCTCTTTGCACCTATTGAGAGAAAAGGTCTGTTGTTGCCACAGGTGATGAGGAGCTATGATAATAACTAATGCCTGTTGAGCTCTTCTGTATGCTGAGAGCTCAGGTTTCACATCAACTTGTGTGTATTTTTTTCCTATATGAGCCCACTGACTCCCAGAGCAGCTGTAATGTTGAGTCCGCCTGTATTGCGCTTTACCAGAAGGGCTCCCTTCTCAGGGCATGTAGTTAGAGCTCCATTTGTTCTTGAAGGCCATGGAAAGACGAGTTAGATTTAACTTGCATTATTCATTAACTTAGTCTTTTTAATCAATCACCCATTCCATAAAAGATTTATCAACTGTGGTCAAGGAGAGAGGTTATATTTGTGTAAATCTCAGGTTTGGGTGGCAGAAAATATACTCAAAGATTTTCCTACCTGGATTTTAAGTATAATGTTCCGATGAAAAATATACTCCCTTTGGGAAATAAAGGGCAATTTCTTAAGGCTGGGCATTCCGAACAGAGATTTTTTGGGGTTTATGATTGTGCAGTCCTGACGCTTTAAAACACACAGGCATGAATTCCCCTTTCAAGACCAGGTGAATGCAAATGACGATGTCAGGTTTCAGTATGAATCTGCTGACTGGGTGTTAGTGAGATAAACCTTAGCAAACACCGCGTGGAAGACAGGTGAGCCCCACTGATTGCTCTGGGCCACCACGCCAAGCCTGCAGCAGGCTGCCACCAAGGGATGTGACTAATGAGCGAGGCCGTTTGTGTCTTTATATTCTTTTATATTGTTTTGTATTGTTTTGTCTTTCCTTTCTTCAAACAAGCTTGTTTCTCTCAGGGAATTAAAGTGCAGAAGTTTCCCCAGAGAGGCAGTGAACTGTTCTCAACTCCCTTCCTTCAGGACACAATTACTTTGCTACTTAAAGTACCAAATATGCCTCTTATCTTTCCACCCGCTGTGGTCTTAGATGGTGGGCAATGAGTCTTGTGAATTAACAGAGCACAAAATTTACAGAATAGGAAATCCATTCCAAGTTATTTGGGGAAGTATCTAGGGTATATTAAATCCTCAAGCGGTTTATACCACAGGCTTAATAGAAACTGCAGTTCAGGAAGGTTGCCTGTCAGATTTGAGCAGAAATACTGACGGAATGTGTCGGAGGGAAAAGCTCATTAAGTCGCTAGAAATGTTCAAATGTGAGAAGCACTCACTCCCATGCTCCGACTCTCACTGTGTGCGCTGCAGGAGACTCAAGCAGCATTGTGTCTGCTGTTTGCTACACGGTCCCCAAATCGGCTATGGGAAGTAGTCTCTACGCTCTGGAATCAGGTTCCGATTTCAAGTCCAGAGGGCGGTCTGCAGAGAGTCGTGTGATATTCGGACCCGGTGTCACCATGTCCACCTGTGATGTCATGGTCATTGATGACAGCGAGTATGAAGAGGAAGAGGAGTTTGAGATCGCCCTGGCTGATGCTTCTGACAATACCCGCATTGGAAGGCTGGCAGTGGCCAAGGTGCTCATTAGTGGGCCCAATGATGCCTCAACTGTCTCCTTGGGCAACACGGCTTTCACGATCAGTGAGGATGCAGGTAATTGGGAGTCCAAGTTCCTGTTTAACAATGTCCTAAAGACGTGGAGAACGTCATTCCTTAGGGGCACTATTGTTGGTCTTGAACAACAGGCCGTCAAGACCAGAAGTGGAAGGTAGTGAAAAGAGAGAGTTCTACCCACTTCGCTTGCTCTTTTGGTTAATGGCAGAGAAGTAACTGGCATGGAGCTTCATGGTCTGGTCTGACTTTGTGGCCCAGAGGGACAATGTGGCCCTAATTATTCTGGCTTGTGAAGTGGAGCAATGTGAATCACTGAGGATATAGAGAGTTATTTAGTGTACTGTCGACTGCTGAAACAAGCTTCCAAGTTTCAGTGTCTTAACACATGGTTCATTATCGTTTATATGTCGGCGCAAAGGAAGTTACTGGTAAGTTTCTTCTATACACTGTTTTAGAGCCCAGGCCCTTTCCTTCTTGTGGCTTTTAAGAGTCTCAAAGTCTGTCACGTGCCACTGGCAGAGGGAGACAGCAACTGTACTGAAGATCAAAGCCTTCTAACTCTTTGACGGGATTCTGAGCCGTGTTGGGAACTAACACTTCTAAAGATTTAGTGTGTGTGTCTGTGTGTCTATGTTTACATGTGTTTGCATGCACATGCCTGCACACACATGCGTGCATGCACACAATGCATGCACAGGTTTTCAGGTCCCTTGGAGCCCAGGGATGATATATCAGATCCTCTATGCGAGCAGCAAGCTCGCTTAACTACCCAGCCATCTTTCCAGTTCCCGGGACTAATATTTTTTAACACACACTGAATGCCAAGCATGATGTCATGAGAGTCCTGTGCATTCTTACTCCATCCTCAGCAGATCAGGTAGCATTGCATGGAAAAGCAGGTTGAGGCCCAGAGAAGTCAAACAAATGGCCTGAGTTTACTCAGCCAGAGACTAGAGAGAGGACTCAGTGTTTAAGAACACTTACTGCTCTTTCTGAGGACCTGGGTTTGGGCCCAAGCACCAACATGGAAGCTCCAGTTCCAGGGGATCCAGGACCCCTTTCTGGTCTCCATGGATACCAATACACACATACATGTAGACAAAATATTCATACAGTTAAAATAAAAATAAGTGGGTAAGTTTCTAAAAAAGTCTTCATATACAAAAAGATATGTGACTTATATTGAGAATGTGTTGTTTGCTGGGGTTCTCAATCTCTATGGTTATGAGAATTAAATATCTTTAGGGTACTGCACATATGGTGAGCCCAAAAGATGAGGCTTGTTCCTAAGATAATAAGCCTATATGGTTTGAGTAATGATGTGTGCACTGCTAGATAAACAAGAAAATCAACCGAGTTAAAACATTTCATTAAGAACATGCAGCCCCAGGTCCCTTGAGCTCATTACTGACTTTTCTAGTTGAGGCTCTTATCTTAGCGGTTTTTTTTTCTCCTCGGATAGGCTTGGATTTGGGGTGACAGGTCATCCCTCAGGTGAATGTGAAACCTGCTCTTTCAGAGGACTATTTTTTTCAGTGCCACCCCCCCCCAGACCCTCCTGTGAGTCTTCTCTTGACCTTGGGGTCAAGGAAAGGGAGCTATGATGCCTCTCAGCCCTGCCCAGAGGGGCGGAGGAACATGGCTAAGGTTGCATTAGACAGAGGGAGTGTGGGAAAGCCGCCATCACTGTTGTACTGAGAGATGAGTGTCCTGAGATACCCGCTGATCTGTGGTTCAAGGTTAGACATTAAAAACTGCTATTACCTTAATCCAGGCACAGTGAAGATTCCAGTCATCCGCCACGGCACTGACCTTTCCACCTTCACATCTGTCTGGTGTGCAACACGACCCTCAGACCCAGCTTCTGCCACTCCAGGAGTTGACTATGTCCCAAGCTCAAGGAAGGTGGAGTTTGGGCCAGGTATCACTGAGCAGGTGAGCCCACAGCAGCCAAAGCACCTCAAAGTCAAGAGTCTCATTGTTACCGGTGTATTTTATTTCCTTCTTCCCTTCCTCCCTCCTCCATCCCGCCTTCCCTCCCTTACTTTCTCCCTCCTTCCCTCTCTCCCTTCCTTCCTTGAAAACAGATTCTTCCCTCATACGCTGTATCCCGACCACAGCTGCCTTCCCTCCATTCCTCTAGCTCACCCCTCGCCACCTTCCTTCTCCCCTAGATCCAGTCCCCCTCTGTCTCCCATCAGAAAAGAGCAGGCCTCCAAGAGACAGCAACTAAATACAATGAAACAAAATACAGTAAGACAAGGCAAAAGCCCTCACACTGAAGCTGGGCAAGGTATTAGGAGGAAAAGAGTTCCAGGAGCAGGCAAGAGTCAGAAACACACTCACTCCCACTGTCCGGAGTCCCACAGAAACACCAGGCTAGCAGACACAACACACACACACAGAGGATGTGGTGCAGACCCTGCAAGCCCTTGCGTGTCCCTTTGGTCTCTGTGAGCCCACGAGAGCCTGCGTCGTTGATTCAGTTACCGTGTACTCCTGGAGTCCTCTATCCCCTCTGACTCCTACAGTCCCCCATCTTCCATGGGATTCCATGAGCTCCAACGGGAGGAACTCAGTGAAGACCTCTACTTTAGACTCTTTCTGCAGGATGTCACTAGTGCAGTTTCTGCCTGCTTTCTGAGTCGCTTCAATATATTAAAATATTACAACATTTTAGTCCTTACTTTCTTTGGAAATAGAGACAAACAGAAGCTGGCATGATGGTCTTTGTTTCTAAAGCTTATAGCCTGAGTTTGATCCTTGGTACCCACATAATAGAAGGCAAAAACCATCACCTGCCATTGTCCTCTGATCTTTACACTTTTACCATGGCACACGCGCATACACACACACAGAGACACACTTTGCACAAATTCATGAAAGAATCTTCTTTAGCACCAAATACCCAACAATGCAAGCTTTATTGACATTGTGAGAATGTGATAATGAGATTATCACTATGAATGTAAATAAAACTAAGCTAGCTTTATGACAATGAAGATGCTAATGCTAGGTGTTGCGCCTTCTCTGAAGTTTGCTTTGTCTCTCCTGTAGTACTGCACCTTGACTATCTTGGATGATACACAATACCCAGTGATTGAAGGACTGGAGACTTTTGTGGTTTTCCTCAGCTCAGCACAAGGAGCAGAACTGACCAAACCCTTTCAGGCTGTCATTGCAATTAACGACACATTCCAAGACGGTAAGAGATTGGGAATACCTGCTGGTTTAAAGCCTATTTCTCTATTTTCCTAATTTCCATGTATGTTACATTGTATCTCATCTGTACTTTCACTCGTGAAATCTGTATGTATACATATCCATGTACAAATGCATGCATGTGTGCTTGCAAAGGCTTTGAGGAGACAACCACTCATGTTGCCAGTACTCTAGCGGGTTCAGAGAGATGCGTAAGCATTAGGCCTTATCTTCAAGAAGCTTCTGTCTGATGTAGCAGGTTTTACAGAGGTGTGTCGGTTCTGATAGGACTTTAGCCATGGATGATAAAGGAAAGCCTGTTATAAATAGAGAGGTAAGTATAGACAAGTGTGAAATATTCAGTGATGCCTATTTGGGGAACTGGAATGCTGACTTCTGCATTGAACAGGACAGCAGTTGAGTAGAGGCATGAACGGGAAGTTGCAGTGAGTCTGGTCCTATGGGGCCTTATGTGCTGGCCAAAGGGCTTTGCAATGGAAGCAATGTGTGGTCATGAGCAGAAGTGGTACAAGGTTTCTTAGGAAACTAATATTGGCAGTAGTGAAAATTGTATGCACAAGTGGACAGAAGCAGTGTGTGACCAAGATCCAATCACCACTGAAGACATGCTGTACATAAGTGAGGGCAAATACAATAGAAGCAGTAAAGAACCAAATCCAGTCACCACCGAAGACATGACGCAAACGTGAAAGCTGCTTCTCAGTGAGGGAAGTTAGCACTTTCAGAACATCTGGATCCATAGGTGGGTCCAGACATTGGAGATTGAGTCATAGTTTCCAGGGAAGTTAGCACTTTGAGAACATCTGGATCCATAGGTGGGTCTAGAGATTGGAGATCAAGCCATAGTTTCCAAGTGAGGCAAGAGGACTCTCAGCAGCAGCCCCAGTGGCTGATGACAGAGTCAGGGTTGAAAAAAAATCTGCTAAAGTAGGAAGAGACAAGCCACAGAATGATGTTTAATGTTTTTATTCATCCTTAAATAGTCATGTGTGTAGGAGCAAAAACTGCAAATGGCAAAAGATACACCATGAAAAGTTAATCTTCCTCATACTTCACTTCTCAATTATCCATGCCCCACCCCCCACCAAACCAATCGTTTGATGTGCATTGTTCATGAGGAATATGCGTGTGTTTGTGTGTGTCTGTGTATTTGCATACATATATGTATCTGCATGTATATGTAACAAATCATTAAGGTATAACTTACAAAGTGTGCACTAGGAGAGTGAAAGAGTCTTACAAGCTCTGAAAACAGACATCGGTACAGTCCCCATGGTAAAGGTGCTGAGAAGTCCCCACCCCCTGTAGGGTTCACTCATGCCTTTTGTAGGCAGTCTCTCCCCTAACTGAAGCCCTAGCAACCATGGATCTGCTTCCTGTCCCTGAAGTTTTGCTTTTCCCAGAATGTCATATAGATAAATTCTGTAATCCGGCACACAGTAGATTTTATTGCATGTTCATTTATTCTTGGCACATCTATAATTCATCATATGAACCGGTCAGACTCCAGTAACACATACAATCTTCATTGCACTCTGAGGAACACAGAAAAGTTTTTTTATTTTTTTCCATTATTTTATTGGTAGCTGTTGGAGTTCCATCCTATGAATTTGATATACAAAAAAATGTTTCTGTTCTATTAGGAAGGCTACTACATGTATTTTATATCAAGAATTTACCCCAGAAGAGAAACCCACAAGCATACTTTAGTGATCGTTGTAGCCAACAGTATTTTCTTAGGTTGGTCACCTCTCTTGCTTGTGGTCACCGGTTGTTGTTGAGACCATTCGTTGTGCACACTTTTGGGTACAGGGGTTTTAAGACACACTGTGTCTGACCTTCACAGTAGCTATTCAAGTTGTGACACTGAGATTTGAATAGTGTGTGTAAGACCATATGAAGAGTTGATGGAGGGCAGAGGCAAAAAGTCAGATCTGAGCCATCCTGTTCTGCCTTCTGGTTCCATCCCCTGCCTTGCTGTCTTTCCCCATGCAGTTTTAGCTGGCATCTCCCCTCTTGGAGGCAATGTCTGCTCACTTGAGAACCGTATAAAATCAGCCTTTGCCTCCCAGAGGCAACCGCTCGCTCACCTTTCTGATGCGATTGCTCACATTTCTGATGCAATCTCTGGTACTTTTCTCTTTTGCTACTGTGCTAAATTCAGGACCCTAAATAATTTAGGTTTTCTTGGTTTTATTTGCCTTGTCTGAAATTAGATTCTAATGTGTATATGAGTATTACCAGCAGATGAGAAAGATCTTGTAGCCTCTGTACCCTGTGCATACAGGAGAGTAGTCCTTACTCATTAACTCCAAAGAATCCGAGGTGGGATTGCTGTGAACTCTCCAACTTAACCATTGCCTGAAAAGAGGCCTCCACATAGCAGGCATTGTTATCACATTTACGTTGTCCATGACCAAAAAGATGAACAGAATAATAAACAGTGTCGATGGAACATTCTATGCACCTGAATTGCTCAGTATTGTATCAGTAATAGAGAACAGAGTCCTGTGTTTTATTTCCGGATCTAAGACTTATGCAAATAAATACGTTAGCCATGTAGAACCAATGTGCTAAGAGAGCTGCTCGGTGATACATGCATTATGTCCATTGCAAGCCCACGTGCTTTGGGGAATACTCTCTTTATGCATCTACGCACCCCAACAGAAAAAAGAAAGGACCCCTGAAATCCTGGAAAATCCAACCCCCTGGTCACTGCTGCCTCTTTCTAGGACTGCACTGCCCTGAGAAACAGTTGACAGATGGCATCAATATGTATGAGAGTCCTAAACACAAAGCCATCACCATGCACAGCGTGTTCTACTCTCTTGCATTGTCTCTTGCCAACCTCCTGGTGGATGTTTCCCAAAGACAAGGGGGTGTTTATTCATTTATTTTTTCTGTGCAGACAGGACTGTCCATGTCTCCAACCTCCAACATATAGGAATAGAAGTGACAGTGAGTATCTTGTCACAGATGGAGAGAGCAGAGTGTTTACGGCTCTGTAAGAATCTGGGGCTGATTAATACATGAGAAAATATGACCACTTCAGCCCTTAGCTTTCTTCTCTGGCATGAGACATGCCAGGCCAGTCTGAAGCTTTTGACACATGCCAAGAGCAACACAGCCTTCCTCTTGTTTTGTTCTCCCCATGGCAACACACCTCTGTTGGTGTCAAACACCTTGCACTGGGTGACAGGCCCCTACATAGTTAAGATGTAGTCACTAATTTTCACTTAGGAGTAGGGCTGTTTGAGGAGGAGTCTACTGTCTTTTTGTGAGGTTATCATTGATACCAGTAGGCTCAGTTCTGATAATAGGATGGGTTTGTCCTTCCTACATTCAACCCTTCTAAGCTAGAGTCAATTGAAGGCAAACAGACCTTTCTAGATACGAGCTTTCAGAGAGGTGAGCTGCTCCCAGCAGCTCTTTCTTTAGGTTTGGGAGGACACGTGCGGAATGCAGCCACGAGAGTGATGGGAGTGTGGGGATGCTTTCCTATACCTCCAAAAACAAAATTCATCTCAGGAGGCTTTGACATCTGACTCCTGGCACTGTTCATGGAGAAACTGATAACCCACAGTCAACCACGCTGGGCTTGGGGAAATGTCTCAGTGTAGAGCATCACCATGGGCACTGAGGCAGCAGAGAGGGAAAGAAGTCCCTGGATGAAGAAGCATGAATCTGGCGGCACGTGCAAATCTAAATATGTTCAACCTACCATATTTGATTGACTCCTGTGGACGCTGAGTGTCATGTCTGTGTTACCTTTTGAAAGCCAGTCCCCTCAGCCTCCTTTGAGAGGCTCATATTTTTGCTTTGCAAGTTTAAAACCCCCACATTCAGAAAGTCTACGTAATTTGCCTTGTCATGCAGCCAGTATGGAAGGTCAAGCCTGTTTCCTCTAACCCCTTTGTTTCCAGCCACCGTTCTTTGGGCTCCTTTCTAAAGTCAAAAAGATTATCAAGTTTCAGGGAACAGCTAACTCGCAGATAACTCCATAGCTCTAGTCACAACTCAGTTACAGCCTGTGAAATTCAACACATACACACATGCATGTACAAACACACATACACACACATGCATACACACACACATACACACACACGCACACACACACACATATATATGTATA